CCGGCCGCAATGGGATGACCCGGTGCTTAGCATCGCTTTGGTGGCAAATGGCTGGGTGTTACTGATGGGGCATGGGTTGTCCCAGGTCGCCATCCTCTGCAGGGGGGCGGCAAAATCCAAGGATGTCCCTCTGAACTTCGCAGGCTGGACCAGCCCCAGTGCTAATATCCCAGGACTGAACAGCCCAAAGGAAGGGAAAGAAAACGGAAGCTTTGAGAGTGATGATGAGAACAGGAAAGGTTTGTAGCTGTCCTTATTAGCCATAAACTGAGTGGTGCTTAATTGAAAGATAAGATATAGATAAGGGCAGCAACCAACAATTATTTTCAATAGTATTTCACCTGCTGATAATTTCCTTGATTAATCAACTGCTTTGGGCTATAAAATATTAGAAAATAGAGAATAATTCCCATCACAATAGTCAAAGTAAAAGTTGACATCTTCACATTGCTTGTTTTGTCCGCATTTTACAATCACAAGTTTACTAAGTTAAAACCAGTTTTTGGCAAATCGTAGAAATAAATTATCAAAACGGTTGCTGATTAATTTTCAGTTGATTGTCTGATTGATTAATCGATTAACCAATTTTTTCAGCTCTAAAAACAATAGTGACACCTAGAGGAAAATTAACTTTTAAAGTCACTTGATCATATTAGTTGTAAGTGCCACCACAAAGATAGCTCTACAAAGTTGGCTGCATTTGTTAGTTAATAAGGAGGTCAGGGAATTAGTACTTTTAAATGTGTTTTTGCAAACCAACAGGTATGAACTAACAAATTATCAAATCATCTCTCACTACACTGGTCAAAAGTAATTTTCTAAAATAACTGAGGAACACTATGGAAAATCATAAGAACACCTGCTAAAAACAGACAAACTTCACTGACAAAGAGGAACACTAATTGAAAGTAGTCATCAGGGATCATAGGTGTCATTTACACTGGGGTCATGTCCCCACCACATTTTGAAATGGCTGATTTCGTTCCCATCACTTTTTGAAAACATTTGTTAAAAACGTTCTGAAAAAACAGCTTGCACCAAGAAATGTTAACTAACAAATGAAAATGCTCTGAGAAAGGTTGATTGACGAAATAAGAAAACATGCAATACAATTTAGTTTTCCCTCATGTGAAAAAAGACATTTCCACTGTAAAATTGGAGCAGAAAATGTATCCAGAATGCAGGAAATTACCAGTTTAATGCTCAAAATTTCAACATCAAATATCTTATCTTAATAGTGCTAAAAATCTTCTTGTCATATTCTCGTACATTGTCACATTTCATGACCCAAATGTATCATCACACCTCTAATCTGATCCCTATGTCCCCACCACTTTTCAACACAAGTGACACACTTCTAAGGGATATATTGAACAAACTGAATTGTAACCTAAGGAGTCTTACCCATCATGTAGCATTTTCCCCCACTGAGTTAGATTAAACAACAGGCTATATGGCCATAATTAACAATCATGTAATAATAGTAAATGATAAAAAAGTGGTAGAATATAACATTATATAATATAACACAGCTAGAGAAAAGTCAAAAAGCAAGCAAAGTAAAATTACAAATAGTTAAAATGTATAGCTAAATCCTAACCCACGCTACAAACTAACAAAACTGAAAAAAGTAGGTTAACCACAAATGCGTCCCGCCAGCAATTCCAGATTCACTGAATGACATCCTTCCTGCTGAAATATAACTACAAGCCACAATGACTATGGGACCGTTGTTTAACATTACAAAATTAATTCCACCATCAGTCAGCTCGGCTCTCACTGTGAGCCTTCATGATGAACACTATATAATGAAGCGATAATTAGCTAACTGTATCATGTGTCTCCCTTCAGGCAAGAGAACCGCGAAAACGCTGCGATCGCCCTACGAGTCTGGATTCTCCATGACAGTGAGTAATAATCCATTAGGATTAACTATCTGATTCCACATACGGTGCAATTAAGCACCGTGACCTTTCACTACTGGAGACAATTACGGCTAAGTCATACTGTAAGGTTAATGAAAGCAGAATTTATCATGGGCATATTAACTGCACTGACATGATGAATGTGTGATCATATGTTTGTGTGTATTTCAGGAAATCGACACTGACAAAGCTTTCACCATCCCTCGCCCTCAGACCACCAACTACAGGGAACCCTATGATGAATATTACGGACATGATTAAAATCACACTCTCTGGGTCTCACACACACACACACACACACGTCTTAGTGGGGGTCTGTCATTGAAGTAATGCATCCCCTTGCCCCTTAACCATTACATCTACTTACAACCATCACCCTAACGCTAAAACCAAGTCTCAACCCTCACACAGGCTTTCAAACTTGTGGGGTTCACCATTTTTTGGACCCCATGAATGTAGTAAAACAAGCCAATATAAACTGATGATGAGCCAACTCAAATGCACTATTCTGTACCTAAAGCACAATGTTTTTCTATGTTTAACTTTCCTGTGATAATGTAAATATATTTGTTTAGAACTGTTTTTTAAATCTGCCATTAGGATGTAAAACCCTCTGTCCAAAACAGAAGAAAGAAGGAAAGACTCAGCAGACTCCTCTGCTTGAGTTTCATCATCTAGATGGTGATGGGTTTTACTTAGTCCAGCTTTCTTCTGGCGGGAAATCCACATCACAAATGTATAGTGGAAGTGAGTCTCTATGGCGGTGTGTGTGTGTACATTGTGTGCTACTCTGAAATGGTATACAATAGCCCTGAGGTGATAGAAGAGGCGTGAAACTGTCGCTCTGAAGGTGCCAAAGTGCAGAGGCGTCTGAACGGTAGAGAGGGGGGATGAAAGGAGGAGGAACGAGAGGAGAGGAAGGGAGATTAGATGGGATGAGACAAGACGTGGGGGGGGTGGACAGGAGACCTGTCAGCACTGTGGGAGGCTTCTGCCATCACTGATTAACATCTTCATATTCAAAGTTAAATTACAGTTGTTGGGTTCTGTTGGCACTGCTGCACCAAAAACAAGGGATGTGTTCTGTGTGGTACAAGGCATGCCTCTTTCCAGCAATACCTATAATCTTTTTAATACGTTTGTGATGGGTGTTATCAATAAAAGGTTCATCTGCTAAAGCCCGAGTTTGTCTGTCATGTCTGTCAAGCTCAACCTTTGCTTCTCTCACTCACAATCTGCACAGATGGCACGCCAAAGGCCAATTACTCTCTCAGCTAGATTCAGTGCCATGCCTCCAGGCACCTGCAGCACAAAACTGGAGGCTAAACCACACAGGAAGCATGCATGCAGCACCACGCTTTAACCACCAGGGGGCAATGTCTAGACGTAGCAAGTGAGACTGACCTGCACAGGGTGGAAGAGACAAAACTGGTTAGAAGAGACTGCCAAACATAGGCTACTGTATGAAAGAAGAGAGTATTTTCACACTAGTAGCAGTACAATACCATATAACCCCTCTTGCCTTATATCATTCACACAATCAAGAATATGTAACATTATTTAAATCCATCGATAGTTATCTATAGTTTCAGTTAGATTCAGTTTGGGATGTTTATTTTCCTCCCACAGTGGCCTGTAGTGACTGCCATCCACAAAAGGTCATTTCCTCACTTCAATAGGCGCAATCTTCACACATCCCCCTCTATCAGATGGCCTCCAATCTATTCTTCCAATTAGCTCGACTTCAATTACTCAGAGAGGAGCATGCCATCAAATTGGCAATTGGCCTCTTGTGCATTAAAGCAATTAGCAAGGATATGAGGTTTCCCGCCACATCCAACCCATTTACGGCCATTAACTCCAGATGCAATTAAAGATTGTTCCAGATTGTTCCCCCTCTGCAGCGATGAGAAAGTTGGAGGTGGCGGAGGAGCTTATCGCGTAGCAGATTTGGTCAACGCCACCCACCCAGGCTGTGTTAATCGTGTGCAGTTGTTGCCTCCATCAATAATCTAGCTCTTGCACAACTGAGAAGTAGGCCTAAGTTTCTGCGCAGAATGAGGAGTGATTCTTTGTTAGCCTGTAACCAAAGGGTTGCAAAAGTTCTCCTTCAACTCCTTTTGGTGTAGGGTTTTGTACATAGTATTTAAAGCGCCCTGTGTCCTGATTGGATAAACTCATTCCAGCCAAACACTGGAAAGAAAATGATAAGCTTTACACAATTGTGGGAAGGAAATACCATCATGGTTAGCTGTTCCAAAGTCAAGAAGCATATCTGGGAATGTGCTCCTGATAACCATTAGGTATGACAGCTTTGGTGTACTATGTTAAACCTGTGAAAAGCATGCGGCACAGGTAATAAGCATTCAAAGACCAGTATAAAAACCAAACAGTTTATTTATTATATACATTCAATAATAATGAAGAGAATAAACAGAAGGCAGACAACAAGGATGGCAAAATAAAACATTGTGAGAAAATACATGTCACTTATTGAAAAACAAAATCACTTGGATAAATGAGCTTTAAGCATGTGACATAAAAATAATCCACATGCAATTCAAACTCATTTATTAAATCCCTGTACAAAACAAAACTCCCACTGGGTTGACTTGGGCACAGTGCGGGGAGTCGGGGTCAGCGGCTGAGGAGAACGCTTTGCTTGTGTGTCATTCCAGCAAGCCCTCTGTGGTGATACTGCAGCCACCTCCAAATAAGATTTCCTCCAATTAGAAGAGACAGAAACAGGCAAAAGCAAACCCACAGGAGTCACCGCAGCTGCGCCGCAGTGCTGCTCGATAACGATTACAACACCTCCACGTGAGCCTTTGCCAACTGGATGAGAGAGGTGGAAACGTTACTAAATGAGCATCTCTGTGGGCAGGTTCACAATAATACTGTGTACCAGCCTTGAAGCAGGCTACTGCTGCCTGATCACCAGCCTCATCTCTGTGCAGAGGCCAAATTATTAGGTGAGTCAATGTCCTTATCGTTATTTGAGTTTTATATTCATTATAAAACGCAAACCACAAGGGGTCCACACATACCAAATTAAACTTTACACATCTGATATGACTGGTGATTACTACAACGACCACAGAGGCACAGAGCAGAGATAACTCAGATTATTGAAGCAGACCGAAGCGACTCGCGGGCCACTTGCTTCTCCCCTCCCCTCTACACCCAGACACTCTCTGCTGGACCTTTGCTGAGACTCTTCGTCACTCCTGTCACCTCGCATCAAGTAGCATCAGAGTTCTTTCCTCCTCCCGCTGTGTAAACCCTCCCCATCTTCCTCCCCTTTCCATCTTCCTCCTCCAGCACTATGATTTGAGTTCATGCACAAATGAAAAGATTCTCTTGACTGACACCCTTCCTCTCTCACAAAAGCATGCATAGCAACACTTCTGATAATACTTGTAAGGAATAAAAAGACAAAAGAAAAAAAACAAAGAGGTAATGCGCGTCAAAAATACTCATTGGACCTACTGCACACAGTTTTCACAATCATACAAAACAACACTAGCCCCTCCTCGCACTGTCCGCTCCACCCTGAGCGCACTGTATCCCCTGAACATTTTTTTTTTTTTTTTTAAAGACAGCAGGGGACGTTGTTATCCTGTCAGCTAACGATTAATGGCTCAGCTTCTCACCTTCACCGCCACAATTTCCCTCGACTAACCACCCACACACCGTTTCGCTGTTCAAAAGGTGGCCGCTGCTGGGCCACGCGGCCCTTTCGACATTGTGTGGACGATTCCCTCCATTTAGTTTGCCTGAAATTTAGCTCTACTGGCAAATGCAATCCAAAACACCCTCTCTGCCTTTCTGCATATCCCTCGTGACTCCATCTGCTCCGATTTCCCTTGTCTGCAGCAAACACCTCTGCATCTACAGTCTGTTTCTGTGTTCATTTAAATAAAAGCCTGTAAAATAGCGTGTGGACTGATTTAGATTCAACAGGGTGTTTTTGTTTGCAGGGTCAGAATTCCCAAAAATTGCTGCAACCTTTTCAATGTGTGTTCTTGGCCTTTTTGGCTGCTTTGATGACATTTCCCAGTACACCATTTCAACACTGTACTGAAAAATACAGCTTCAACCCACCAATAAAAATATATATATATTACAAAGTAAAGGCAAAACTATCAACAGCAAAAATAAGAAATACATCAGGACCAAAAATGTGCTTTCTTCAGAAAATCTTTGGAACCGAAAAGGCAAATAATAGCAATAACATAGTGAGAATATATTGAGATGTGATACATACAGGACAGAGAGACCTGGTCTATAAATTGTCTGACTGCCAGTCGTTTTATAATTGACTGGTAAAGAGAACTTTAAAACTAGGTGGACCTAACAATCCCAGAGAGCATGATGAAGGATATCAAATGACAGTGCATGTGGTGTCCTGTCATATTAAAAATGATGAATATAAATAGAAAAATGATAGATTCCCATTACCTCAAGACTCCATTACACGACTGCTATCTCTGTGTTTCACTGTTTTCTAATCTGGGCTGTTCTGCTGGGATCTACTGTTCTGCGGAGTTGAGATCAGACACCATTTCCATGTACAGAGCTCCAGCACAGAGCGGCTCTGCCTGAAGCCTGCAGGCATAAATATCTCAATTGGCCAGGAGGGATTCCCGTTTGGCTGACTGGCAGATGATTAGTTTCCCATGTGGGTGTTCCCGCTTCAGATCTGCTTTGCTATATCTGGTTCATTTGTGTTCGATGGGTTCTTTGTCCAACTGACCCGCTCATTCACTACTCTGCTGCTACAGCTGGAATGTGACGGTTTATTAGATAGAAAGAAATGCACCGAGTCCTTTTTTGGAAGAAGCACTATGAGCAGATCGAGGGTGATCCCTTAGAGGGGAGGTGCGCTGTATTCTCTAAATGGACAAACTTACAGGGTCAGTTCATAGCTGAAGGGAGTAGAAACAGATCCAACATCCCGCCTTAGTGTTGCAGTTACAGTAATAAATGTGCAGAAAAAAAGGATGGCTCTGTCACTGAAAATAATGGACAGTTTTAACGCGTCCACGTTATATATAACATTTCTACGCAACTCCTTATCAATGGTAGCAAAACAAAACAGAAAAACTGAGGTAATGCAGAAAAAAACAAAGTCACTTTTTGTTTTTCCCTTGTCATTTTCACACCGTTTTTTAAATTCTTTTTTTTTTAAACATTTGTTTTGTTTTTTTGCGTTTCCTTTTACAGTTGGGGGAAGTTCTAGAAAAATGTCAACAACAAAAAAATTTCCATGCTGTGTAATTTCTGTCAGTCAGATGCTCCCGAGTTCCCTCCGGCTTTATGTTCAGTATTCCGGCTTTACAAAATAACAAGAATAATTCCTACATATTCTGTACTGAGCAGAAAAATTTCTCATTATTATACCACAATGCTAAACCAGAGGGACAACTCTACTGAAGTGGGTGGGGGGTTACGTCAATGTAGTGTTTAAAAACATGAGTACCTTTTTTTTTTTCCTTGTAGCATCATTCTGTGCAGGCCAACACTAAAGGAACATGTAGAGGGAAAAAAAAAAAAGTGTGTGTATGTAAGTCTGATTAGGTCTTATAGGGCAGTGGATATATGGTACGTTCAGAGACTTGTAGGAAAAAAGAGGTTTATAGTGTGCAGGATCACACAAGAACAGCAGTCTCTCTTCTTCCTGGTCTTGTAGTGTTTCTAAAAACCATCCTAAATTGTGCCCCGTAGTTCAAAGCAGCTGGCTCCAGCTTTTTATGTGGGAGACACTCGTGGCAGTTTTGTCAATGTTTCCATGTGACAGAAGAGTACAGAAACACAGTTTGAGTTGGTGATGTGGCAATGACCTCTCTCGCCACAAAAGAAAAAAGAAGAAAAACAAAACACTGAGTTGTCACTATAGTCCACCTGCAGAAAAATGGAGGGGAGCTGCTGCCAAACAAAAGAGCTTGAAAAAGGGATCTGGAGCGATGTGAAATTCCTTGGGTGTGATTTGTGGTTTTAGTAAGGAGCAAACCTACTGTATCCTGCCCGGTATAAACTGGCCTGAAAGAGACAGAAACAACACAGTGTTACAGCTATAGATCACTGTTGTGAAAAATGAATCAAACGTAGTCTACACATAGTGCAGTACAAATGATACATGTATTGACCCAAGACTGCAAATGTGTGCATGTATTTATTCATGATTTCTTTAGGACAGTTTCTGTGTAATGTCCTGCTGCGGACACAGAAAGGCAAAAGTGAAAGGTGGATCCAACATGGCTCAACGTGGGCAGACCATGTGCATCTAATCTGAATATAGAGAACACTGTGCATCTTAAATACCTAATAAGTAGGACGCTATGATTTCTGCAAGGCGGAAAACACAGACGGAATCGCGGCATTTGATCATAAAAATGGAATCAACTGTAAAATGCGTAATTTTGTGGAATCTGCCAGAATGTGGATGCATTTTATAAAAATAAAAGAAAATACAAAAATCGGTGCTTTCCTTAACGTTATAAAGTTCTTTTGTTTACAGCACTTAGGCCAAACAAATAAAAAAACGCCTATACTGTTTGTTTTGGTGTCATTCAGGGCCGCTGTTTCTCTCTTCTGCTATCTGTGTTTCAACTAACTCTCAGAAGTGCAACCACACAGGCAGATGCAAGACACAAGCTCATTGAAGACTTCGTGGCTGTGTGGGCGGAGTCTAGATATTCAATTAGAAAAAAAATGAAAAAGCTACGTTCGGTCAAGCTTTGTAAACAACGAGGGGTGTTTCCCTCAGTCAGACCCACTTATTACCGTGGTGTGTCCGAGCAGCATTTGGAGGCTGTCCTGCAGAAGAACCGTGGGAAGAAATGATCAGTTATCAAGTAATAACCTATTTAATAGGAAACAATTCACAAAACATGTATTGTAAATTGTTCCCATAAATAACTGCACATACATTTGAATATTTCTATATGCAAATTTGCATAATACACGGAATTAATTCAATATTTGTGAATAATGGTGAAATTGTATTCATCCACCCAATGATCACACACATTGTCAGATGACAAAATGTGCTTCAATTAGAAAAACACAAATATCAGAAAAATTAAAACGGAAAACATGGAATTTGAGGAAACAATACAAAGGAATCTGGAAAAAATATAAGGATTTCATAGGACCCTAAAAAAGTAATTGATGTTCTACACTGGTTGTTTTGTAAAGCTTGTGTCAGTTTTCTCACCATGGCTCCCACTCCGTAAGCAGCAGCAGCTGGAGTTAAAGCATGGTAGGGATCTGTAGTGTACACCCGGCCATAACTACAACACAAACACAACATACAAGAAATTACTCATGAGTTTAAAAAAGGCCACTTCTGCCAAAGGTTTCACAATATTCCACTCATCTACAGGTCGTACTGAGAATCTGGTAGCAAGTAAACATGGATGTCAATAAAGCGGGTTTCAAACTTAACCAGCAAGTTTGCACTTGTGTTAAATTCAGGGTTTTGTGGTTTCTTACATGCAACTGGCACAAATTGCTTCTCCAGAAGGCACATTTAAAGATCCTGTTTTTTAAATTAACTATCAAGAGCAGATGCGGTTTCATACATTGAATTTATGAAGAATGTTTAATCATTTAATCACATTAATTTGGCTCCCTGTCTGACCATGGTGCCGTTCAGGTAGATTTCACACTGCATCTAATCTTCTCTAAGATACAGGATTACATTTTCATGGTTAAAGTCGTGCTGGCTTTCGCTATTATATCACCAATTTGTACTCATCCATTAGTACTGTGTTATTAACCATAAATGTCCTTGTACATCCCCAAATTCAGTAATGTTTCTATCTGTGTACGGTACTCATCCTGGGGCCTCTGGTTCCTCTTTAGATGATCCTCAGCCAATTAGTACTACTAAAAATAAATAAAAACTCTGCCTTGTATCTGACACACCATCTTTACAGTTCTGTTGTACAGTGAGGGGTGTGTGTGTGTGTGTATCTATTTGTTGATGTGTGTCCTGGGTTGACCTCACCTGTCACTGTAGGCGGCAGCTGCAGCGGTTGCACCGGTTACGGCCGCGGGCTGGGCATAGCGATAGGCAGCGGCAGCGGCGGCAGCAGCAGCAGGGTAGCCTCCCTAGAGAGACACACACACACACACACACACACGAACTAAATCACATGCATCTGAGGAAGAAGACACCTGAGGTATGGGGGAAGGGGGCTGCCATATGGAGAAAGAATATATTGACATTTAGAAAAAGAAATATATGTAAACATTTGTGATTACCTGCAAAAAAAGTATTTTCTAGATATTTTTGAATACATTCTGTAGATATTAGTGTGATTACTATATATTTTTACATGTCTTAACAATTAAAAGAAAAATATAGCATATTAATCATTATTATATTTTAAGTTTAGAAATACTTTTAAGTTCCTTGTGTTCAGTAAATCTTTCCCCAATATTTAGAGTAACATTTACTTGTCATTTATGTATAGTATCTTACAAAAGTGAGTACACCCCTCACATTGTTGTAAATATTTGATTATATATTTTCATGTGACAACACTAAAGATATGACACTTGGCTACAATCTAAAGTAATGAGTGGACAGCTATAGAAGCTGTACACTCAAAATAACACATCACACAGCCATTAATGTCTAAACCGATGCCAACAAAAGTGAGAACACCCCTAAGTGAAAATGTCCAAATTGGGCCCAAAGTGTCAATATTATGTGTGGCCACCATTATTTTCCAGCACTGCCTTAACCCTCATGGCATGGAGTTCACCAGAGCTTCACAGGTTGCCACCCCTCCATGACGACATCACTGAGCTGGTGGATGTTAGGGACCTTGCGTTCCTCCACCTTCCGTTTGAAGATGCCCCACAGATGCTCAGTAGGGTTTAGGTCTGCAGACATGGTCGGCCAGTCCATCACCTTTACCCTCAGCTTCTTTAGCAAGGCAGTGGTCGTCTTGGAGGTGTGTTTGGGGTCATTATCATGTTGGAATACTGTCCTGTGGACAGTATGTCCCGCTCTGCTTCAGTATGTCACAGTACATGTTGGCGTTCACGGTTCCCTCAATGAACTGTAGCTCCCCAGTGCCGGCAGCACTCATGCAGCCCCAGACCAGGACACTCCCCCCACTATGCTTGACTGTAGGCAAGACACACTTGTCTTTGTACTCCTCACCTGGTATCGCAAAACACACATGCTTGACACCATCTGAACCAAATAAGTTTATCTTGGTCTCATCAGACCACAGGACATGGTTCCAGTTATCCATGTCCGTAGTCTGCTTGCTTGGATATGACATTGAGCATGTGAACTCAACTTCTTTGGTCAACCATGGTGAGGCCTGTTCTGAGTGGAGGCTGTCCTGCTGAACTGCTGAATGGTCTTGGCCACCGTGCTGCAGCTCAGTTTCAGGGTCTTGGCAGTCTTCTTATAGCCCAGGCCATCTTTATGTAGAGCAACCATTCTTTTTTTCAGATCCTCAGAGTTCTTTGCCATGAGGTGCCATGTTGAACTTCCAGTGACCAGTATGAGGGATTGTGAGAGCGATAACACCAAATTTAACACACCTGCTCCCCATTCACACCGGGGAGGGAAAATGGCTAATTGGGCCCAATTTGGACATTTTCACTTAGGGGTGTTCTCATTTTTGTTGCCAGTGGTTTAGACATTAATGGCATTAATAGTGTTTTGTGTTATTTTGAGGGGACAGCAAATTTACACTGTTATACAAGCTGTACACTCACTACCTTACATTGTAGCAAAGTGTCATTTCTTCAGTGTTGTCACATGAAAAGATATAAAAATATTTACTAATATTTAAAATATTTACATACAATAATGTGAGGGGTGTACTCACTTTTGTGAGATACCGTATATACATTCACAAATGAGATAAAGTATGGGTCAATATATTGCATTTCTATATGGGGAAAGGAGGAGAGGGTGTGGAGGTGGGACAAGAGTGCTTTATCAGTGAGACAGAAAGAGGAAATTGGACTGTCAGGGTTGAGTTAGATTGTATTATTTCACCACTACGGGAGATGGGGAGGTAAAAACAGTGGAAGACAAAATGTTCGCACAGTTGAGGCTATATAGAAACCTTATTGTCTTGTCAGGACAGAAGATTAAAGGATATGTCAAGAGAACAGCTACAGCTTAAGGACACATAAGGTGACTAGAGTCAGAGGTTCTAGTGGAGACATGTATGACAAAAACAACATTTGTTGTTATTATTTGTGTTTTTTCACATGGATTCAGGAGACAGAAAAAACAGAGAGGAAGATGGGGGGTAAAAAAGTCGCACACACAAACACACCCACACAAGCCTATACTGACTAAAAATCATCTCCTCGCACTGAGACTGCATGCATGACCCAAATTACAGTTCAATCCTACTCAAAAAAACAAAAACACACCACCAGTGCATTTGGACCTGATCCGAACAAAGCACAGCAAAGCACAAGAGAAACACCCCAGCATCCTCCGAGACACCAGCAGGACGCAGAGGGGCGAGGAGGGGTGAGAAAAACTGGGTTATTAGCAGGGAGAGAGCAAGGCCTTCTGGGTGAGTGGAGGGTAAGGAGCAGTGATACAGTACATCTGCATGCATCAGCTGATCAGCACATGCTTGAATAATCATAGGAGGAGGGGTACAGGTGGTTAATTCAGGAAGAGACCATGTTCTCTGTTTCAACCCAGGCGAACATTAACTGGACCTTTCCTCCAATTGTAAAGAAATTATGTAAGAAACCTTCAGTTTAGCATAAACCATCACGGTTGAGTCCAATTTTACAGTATGAGCTGACAATCTGTACCCCACCCCCTTTTGTGCTTGGGAAAAGTAGGTGTAATTTTTGGTGACAAGAGACACATTTGAGGATGAGTTTCATTTTCTCCCAAAACTGGCTGACCAGACAAAAGCGACCAGGTCCTTTTTTGAACAAACTGGTAGGCACAAACAATTTAGTAGTTTAGTAGACAGACAAACAAACAAAGCTCTTCCCCACAATCGTAGTTAGTAGAAAAATAATGAGAGATTCAAAGCAGTGGTCTTTTTTTTCTCTTCACTTTTTTAAACAACTTAAAGAAAACATGTTCCAGATCAGATCAGAAGATGATTCATAAGATCAGAGGAGGTAGTAAAAACATTGCACACTGTGGGTTTGGTGTTGAGTTGACCCTACCTGAGGCAATCTGGGACTAAGGACTGAGTCCTGAAACACTAGTCTATAGAGAGAACAGAAACAACCGTCGTCAACCTGGATACACATACACACTCTCGCTCATGCGCTCACACACTCGTACACTGACACACGCTACCGCATCCGCACACAGAGCAGCCTGTAGAGTGGTGTTAGAGACCCTTGAGCCTATAATTAAGATTTTGGGGCTCTCCATTTGATTTTTTTGATTTGATTTTTTAAATCAATACGACATATTTTGACCCACACTGTGTTAAAGATGTATAGTAAAGGACATTCCGAGGCACAAACCACCTTTCACATTTGTTACAAGTGGTGTGCTGTGCTTTGAAGCCGTTCTTCACTGTGGGCTCATTCACCTTTACGCAGGCAGCTCTGTGCAGCGCATGAGCGGACGCACATGCAGAATCACCCCCAGGAGGAAAAAGAGCAGGAGAAAGCCGTGAGGGGAGGGACATAGATGGTGTGTCGGTGGGAGGTGAGTTTACTTACATATAAGTCTGCAGCTCCGTAAAACCCATCCTGATACACCACACTGAGAGGAGGAAACGGGAGAGAGACAGAGAGGGGAAGAGGAGTAGGAAGGTGTGGTGGAGGGGGTGCAAATGGAGTGGTGCACAGACCCAAAACCAGAGTGGCAAAAACACAGCACAAACAAAAGAGGGGACAGGAAGAGAAGGAGAGAAAGAGAGAGAGAAAGAAAAAGTAGTTATTTCACACCCATGCAGCATGCAGAGGAAATTCAACTTCCATATAAGCTCCACGACTGAAACCAAAAACATTAAACAATAGACTCCTTTGGCTAATAGATAAAAGTTCAGTGAACTGAAAAAAAGACCATAAACTGCTACGGTTGCCTAGCTGCCTGAAAATCAAGGCAGTGAGGTGCAGTTTTCAGTGGAGCAGATATGGAGAGTGTTTTTCCTGCAGCGCCCTATTTCATCTTGTTTAGCTTAATTTGAATGTCATCATTGTACACAGCCACATGGCCATTAATCAATCAATTCTGCTTTGATCTGAATATCAGAGCAGTCACAACGCCATTAGCCAATCATCACAGCACAGCAACGACATGCACAGTACACATTCTGAGGGGACAAAAAAAACCAAATAAACAAAAACACATCTCGTGAATAATTCGGAGCAAATGTGTGTGCAGGGCGACTGCTTCTGCATAATGACTGCATGTGGTTTGTGTGTGTTTATTCAAATCTGCTGATGGTGGTATCTGTGTGGTTATTCAAATGAACCTTCAATGGTGCAATCCCATCAGTGCGTCATACTCTACTGAACAGCTTGTGAACTGACTGACACTGTGCCAGTTGGACTGCTGCAGAGAGTGAAGTGTGAATGGTGTTTGAGCGTGAGGCGTGTATGAGCACAGCTGTGTTAAACCGAGACCTGCTCAAACAGAATTTAGAAAATTATTCTGAAAACAGCATTCACGAGATGATCCTCGATAGGTTTACTGGGCACTAAACAAAACAACTGATCTTGACTTTTGTCTCTCTAAAATGCGTTAGATGAAACACATCCAGCGGATCTGGATGTGAAGTCAACAACTCTCGTTTTTAAGCGACGTGTCATTCTTACCCAGGGTAGGCAGGGATGGCAGGCTGAGGCACAGCAGCCCGCACAGCACTGTAGACGGGCCGGCCTCGGCCCCTGAGGTGGGCACCGCGAAACGCTGCCGCTGCTGTAGTGGCGGCTGCTGCTGCTGAAGGGTAGGGAAACCCTGGGACTGAAGGGAGAAGAGGAGGAAGGACAAAAAAGGGCAAGGAAGGAGGTAAAGAGAAAAGATTGAGAGACAGCAGAGGATTCAGCAGGCAGGAAAAGGACAATGTGATTACAAAAAATTGGCAGTGGGATGAATTAAAGGAGAAAAGAAAGAGCAAAGAGAGAAGGGGAAAAATCCAACTATAGCCTTGAGGGCTTGATATCAATTAAAGTGTCAGTGAGGAGAAGTGCTAGGCAAGCAGTGCATTAATATAAATTAAAGATTAGAATGTGACCAAAATTTAAAAGCAGGCCACAGAGACAGATTTTATCGCAGGTAAAGGAGATGGAGAGCGGCCTTACCTGCGTAGAGCTCTGGTCCGTACACGGCCCCCACCATAGGACTCAATTTCCACCCTGCTGATAGTCACACAGAGAAGAACAGGGGCAAGCAATTACTATGGGCAGTTTATAAAGAGTGCAGCAGGCACGTATGTAGCACGTATGTAGAAGTACCTGCTGCATTTTATACACACATTTCACTACACAATTAGTGCTGTTGGGTAGTTGGGTTTCTTAAAGGCCAGTTTTACCAATTAAAATGTGATAAAGACACAAAAGAGACAACGGTTAATTCTAAAAATGTACTGTACTGGCTGTCGAAGCTGTCCAACAGAGCGCTTCCTTTTTTTCCATTCTGCAGGACTTTCTCCAAACCAAACAAGAAGTTGTAATGAGGGAATAATGGAAACAAACAGCAAATGCTGCTGAGCTATCGCCATGTTAATCAACTGAACTGAGGTGAAGCATCCCAGACCCTGGATTCAGCTTTGACTGCACTTTTTGCAAACAGACGGTATGAGTGAGCAAAGCCATGACAGAGGAATAGTAAGGATGCTGGACGACCTGGGCAGATAGAGCAGGTCAACATTGGCAAAACTTTACTTTAGCATTTATAAGCAGTAAATAAACATCTACCAAAGGATTGGGAACACACAATAATGTTGGAAGCAACATTGTAAAACACAGTTGCGATAACGCAAAATATGTTTTCATAGGAGATGTTGTAATTGCTGCCAAATACTACATATTAATAAACACTTGAGTTGAGTGAGTTATACACCATTGAATAATTGTTTTGTACATTACTCAGAAATAAAAAAAATAGGGGGGACTTCAGGTAAAATGTTACCTGTTGTGTTAGTTGAGTTAAGCCAACATTCAAGTCACTGACAAAGTGCATAAATTCTACAAGTCAGTCTTAGTAAACAAGTTTAACAAGTATTTACTTATAAAATTTTTTCAAGGCCCAGGTATAATGCTGACTTTAAGAAGATTCTCAAAGCCATAGTCCTTGGCTCTTTTTCACATTTATGTTTTATTTCATTAAGCCCACTTTGTTACACAATATTTTTATAAAAGATTCTTATCATCAACATCTCTGTTTCTTGCATTCCTTGCTGTTAGTTCACCTGTAAAGCATGTGAGCTCAATCTGAAAGCTAACTGATGTCGTGGCTGGTAGGTGGTAGCAAAAATAATAATAACTAAGATAAACTGCATGAAATTGGTTTGCTGACGGCCTTACATAATGTGGTCTGCAGGGAGGCAACACTGAGGCTGTATTGTGTGCTTCACCCTGCCTACGTCTGCCTCTCCCTGTGTCCCTATGCTGTTTGGATTATTAGGAGGGCCACGGTTCACTGTTAGTGTGTGTCAGTGTGGTTGTTACCATAAGGCAGTGTGCTGAGAGCCTCTCCGTTAGGGTAGGGGCTGACCATTTTCTTGTTAGTCATCACCCTGGCGGTGGCGTTATTCACCTGGGGATGGAGGAGCAGACGGTCAAAGACACAGACACAAAAACAGAGTATCAGATCACAAGGGCAAGGCTGATTTTACTTATTTATTTTTATATATATGTGTTTAAAGTTGAATTACAAACATGTCTGCTGTGCTGGTATTATGCTTGCCCCTTTTTCTACATCTTGGTGCATCTCTGGAGGTGTTATTACTGTTCCCAGGTCATTAAAAGTGAATACTGTTGTCATTTGGAGTGGATATTTTTCCACAATCATTCTGCCCTACATAATTATTCTGTTACATAACCTTGTTTTTATTGTGAAATTACACTCTTTGAAGGCGTAAAAGCTGGCTTATAGTTAAATGCTGACACATCAACCACATGGATGTCACAATGCAACAACATCTTCTTGAAGGATTATTTTCTGGTAACAAATTCAGTTTCTTTCTGTTGATGTCATGTAAAATACTGCGCACACATCTTCTTGTACTACTTCTGCCGAATGAAAAAAGAAAGAAAAGATGTAACCAAATCAACTGTCTAAAACGTAGGTTACTGTTATACTTTACCAGTGCGCACAGTGTGGAAGGATTTTACTTGTGTAGTGTCTGAGTTGTATAAAAGTGGGTGGGGACTGTTATGGGGGATTTTTAGTCATCATGCAATTAAAAAGCGAGTTGCCCAGTAGAGATCTGGTGATTCATTACGAAGACATATAAGGGCTGCCATGGATGTTGCTGCTGTGACTACACATAAAAGGGTGGGGGTGAAGGCACAGCAAAAGAAACTGAGCTTTTATGGCATGCAAAGGTGAAAGTATTGTGGGGGTTTTTATTTTTTTTTTGGTGTGTGTGCATGTTCTGTTCATGCTGGGTGACATTTCAGTCTAATGCTCAGGCTTTCAATCCAAGATGGCTGATAATCTCCTTTCTGAGCTTCAAAGGCTCACACTCCGGTCCCTTGATCTATGCTCATCTTCCTTTGATGGGCTTTAAGAGAAGGAGATTGTGGCTCTGTGTAATAACCCATACTGTCAGAGTGTGCTGCCGGAGCTCTACATCTGACTGTGTGGAGAGCTAAAGATTAATGACCTTTTGGCTAGATGAGGGGAGAGTGTGCGCTTGTGAGACAAAGACGGAGAGAGACAGACAGACTGAGGAATGAGAGAGCTTGTGTGCGGACACACGCTGCAATCCCATTTAGGAGACCATTAAGGCCTAGACTGCCATTCGCGTTGCCTCTCTCAGTGAGTCATGTTCTTATCTGCTGGGCTTCATTCAAATGGAAATGAGGTTTACCTCATTTTTCCCTCATTGCAAATGACAAGGTCAGCGTCAAATGATTCAATTAGCCTAGCCTGGCTAGCTATCTGACGCAACTCTCAGCGGGTGTCTGAGTGGAGACATTTTGAAATGTAAAATCGAGTTAATGAATCAAATAAATGTCAAAATGTTTTTGTGTCACAGTGAAATTTTGTCCGGATTATGTTGACTAATAACAGTTAATCATAATGTAGAGTTTAGCCTAATGCTGTGTGTGTGTGTGTGTGTGTGTGTGTGTGTGTGTGTGTGTGTGTGTGTGTGTGTGTGTGTGTATATACACACAGTATACCTGTTTTTGTGTCAGGTATAATCAATGAAATTGGGTAAGCGGTTGACAGGAACACATGCAAATCAACAGAATACGGAAGGCAAATCTCAACGTGTTAATAATAATTAAACATTCAGCCTTTCCCATCCCACTGTTGCCCCCCCCCCAGTCCAGCCTGAACAACAAACCCGAACAAAATGAAGTCACATTTCCATATGAAACCAAACTTGTGGGGTTTACATACCTAAAAAGAAATATAAAAAAATACAAGGGAGAGAAAGAGGGGGTGCAAATACATTTGTTTGACAAAATTAATAATCATATAAACACAGAAATTACACGCAGCCAAATATGGGCGCATCACATGACCAAGAGTGAGTAACAAACCAAAAAAAGTAAAAATTCAGCCAATCAGCAAGCGTCGGGTGCAGCATAGAGACCAATCAAAACAATCGCAGCACTCCCACATCGAACACATACCAGACAAAGATGGGACAGATAAGTTAAGAGGAAGGGATGCAAGTGAGAAGTAAAGAGACAGAGCCAGTCCATTTACAAAAAAAACAGGAGAACGTAAAGATGGAGAGAAGAGAAAAGAGAAAAAAAAAAAGGGAGAAAGTTTACATGAGCAACACAAACAAAAAACAAACTAATAACAATTACTGTTTAAAACAAAAACATATATCCCAAGGTGCATCATTCAGATAAAGCAATTAGATTTGGTGACCATTCTCCTGAAAATCTCATTATATGTGGTGGGTTGAGAAACAGAGCCCCAAAGGATGGAGGAAACAGAGAGAGGGAGAGCGAGAGAGAGATAGAAAGAGAGAGCAATCCTCATTCCCAAAAAAGGAGAGAAATAAAATAAACATGAGACACTATGCCAGGCATTAAACTGTATGTCACAAACTAAGACCAGTACACTATGACTACGACTACTACTACTACTACAACTACTAGTACACAGACAATCCACTACAAGAAAACCAAACCAAAAGAGAAAAACAAGATGGCAGCATAATAGAGACCCAAAAAACAGTAAACCCCATATCGGTTTAGAAATGCATATGGTTACACAACACCGGCTGGTTTGATAAGGGACCTCATCTGAAGCAGCATGGTTTCTACACAGACTTTTTGTTTTTACATAAATACTCAAAAGATCCCCAAATGAACAGATCCAGTTTCATTTTTAATGGCACTGCATCCTTTAACTGTCTGCAATGTGCCAGGATGCTACACATTAGCTCAAAGTCTGGATAAGCTCTTTACCTAAATCTGCGGGGTCTTAACGCACTTTTTTCAAATTCACTATGTGTCCAATTGGCTAACATTTGACAAACGCACACTATGCTGGAAGCAGGTAGGTCAATGGAATAAAGAAATTCAAAACCAGAGCAGCGTTATTTGCCCTTCAGCTCGGGGTCTGCATTCACTCAAAGCAATCATAGGCAGCAACAGGGAGCAAAGCTTCATATCATTTCTGTTGATTTTTTTAAAATATTAATCAAGAAAATTAAAACTACATACATTGAATCCAATGGAGAATTAATCAGATGGATTGTGGACAGCCGTGTCATTGCATAGAGGAGGGTGATTACATTCGGTCATTCCCAGTGAGGTGTTAATGACATGGTGGGGGACGGGCATGTGGAGAAATTATTACTGCTAAAAGATCCAATCTGTTGAGAGATGCGGTGTCCGTCTGTCTGTGTGTGTGCCTGTGATACCGTGTTGTGCACTGTAACATTACATAACAGCAACAGCTTTCTAGGGCATTACACCGCGTGGACCTATCACATACAAATCGTTTGATAAATGGAAATGCAAAGACTGATGTTATAATTTCACAGCATACTGTACATACTACTGTATCAAATGCCCGTTTCAGGGGTGGGGTGGGAAGGGGATCAGTTCAGTGATAGATGTTTGTACACAACTTACCGTTGCCGTAGAAACAGCGAGTGGTTACCGTGGAGACTGACAACAACACACAGAAGTCGTCAGGGAAACAGAAAAAATATAATAAATAAAGGAACAAATAATCCCAGTAACAAAAGAAACCTAAATGTCCCCCCCCCGCCCCCCCCTTGCCCCGTGTGAAATAAAAACCTGACAGCAGCAGTGTTACAGCTCAGAACAGAATATATGAGAAAGAGGAAAGGGAGAACAGGGAGAGGGGACGCCAACTCTTAGTGCTTAACGGAGCTCTGAGCATCATCACAATAATCAGAAGGCGTTCTGTGCTCTAGAGTATAAAAACGACTGTAAGGGAGAATAGAAATTTGGGACAACCTTGCCATAACCCCAAAAAATAGCCTTCTGAACGTACAACGAGGGAGTGAAATGCAGAGATGAAACTTCCAAGGAAGAGTCAGAAGAGCAGCTACAAATGCACAAATACCCTCCATCATAAGAGCGGAATAGTAAAGGTTGGTTAAACGCTGGCTGGGTCTCATAGTCAAAAAGGACAAGTTGAGGTATTTTGCAAGAAATGACTCATTCTTGAGTGGTAAAGTTACGCCACAACAGAAGAGTGTGTGTTTGGAAATTGGTCGTAGGGTAGAGTGGCTATAATTTCCTGTCTTAACAGACACCACAAAAAAAACAAAAAAACAAACATCCTAAAGGTTGTATGATAGTCAAACAATGAAAATAAAGACAGAAAACTGAAAAGAAAATAGATGACAATAAATGGAAACAAAACCAGGCATAGATGATTGCAAAAAAAAAAAAAAAAAAAAAAAAAAAAAAAAAAAGATTATTATAGTAAGAAAAACAGCTATAGAATATTTTCAAATTAAAGAAAAACTTGACTGGCAACAAGAGAATGAAGGGATAAGGAAGAGAGAGAATGGAGCCGACATAAAGAAAGACAGAGGGTTGGGAAAGGGCAAAGTACAAACTCTCTTTCCCTTTTTCCTTCAACCTTTCCCCCCCCTACATTTTCACTCAGGTACAAAGCAAACACATGGATACTCACACATTTCATTCATTAACCATTTCTGGGGCAGGTCATGCAGGAACCGAAAGTTCCAATAACAAAACAGGACAGGTCAAGCCGGGGAGGGGAGGGAGGAGGGTCATCTATGAAACTGGGACACAAGGAGCTGGTGAGCCTTCACCTCAGGCCATCGACCATCCAGCAACTCACAGTCAAGTTCTTACCAATTCAAACTCTCGCAGTACAAATGATGCTGCTCAATAAAGTCATCCAAAAGGTTCATAATGTTTATGGAAAGGCCAAAGTGAGCTGAAGGCCAACTGTGTCCCATTGAAGTGGAGGTGTGTGGTGGCAGCATCGGTTGGTGAGAGTGTGCATGGTCAGGCATGCAGAACCACAGCCACAACTTTTCTCATCCTTTTCACTGCACATATCCATGCATTGATGATGACGCTCAATAGTTTGCCCCCCTTAGCATGCAGAGCTTCACCACTTGTGACACACACACACACACGCACACCCCTCAGCTATTCTGCGCTATTGTGTTCAAATGTCCGACTAAAACTCTGCGCTGCGGAGGAGCCATCGCTTCCTGTGACACTCCAGCCACAGATCAAACACACAACCTTAGAGTACAGGAGTTAGTGAATGGATGTCTATAGGGTTTAGCATGGTCTCTGTGCCCGTCTGTGCAACCATCTCCGCTGCAACCACTGAACAAACTGCTGCATTTTTGTCCTCGTCGTAACCCTTCCACACTGTAGTTGGCACGGTCAATAAATCGACAGACAGCTACCCAGACATAAAAGAAGATAAACCTGCAGACTCTTTTGTAAAATGGTGATTGTTTGGTGCAAATCGAAAAACTGTTCACTGCAGTCTCTTTATTGTGTCTTGCATTCCCAAAAATGGAACAATGAAATTATTACTGTTGTAATAGCCAGCATGCGAACTGTCACCTGCTGAGAAACAGGTGAAGAAATATTAAAAGTGTGTTACCTGGACTAAAGAGGCACAACGACATAAACGTAATGATTCCCTGATCGAGGTTTGCATCTGCACAAATGAGACCATGCAGGGACCCTAATGGACTTCCTGTACAGCCAGGAATTGCAGCACAAGAGTGTAATCTGTGACTAAATGGTTTGGTTTTTCTATCATTAGCTTTGTAGGGTTGTCCTACAGTCAAAGTAACACAAGCCAATGACAGTGAAAAACTGCCCGAGGCAGAAAGATGTTATGAGCCAGGAGCATTTGGGCTAACCACTTACGTTAGAGCCATAGACTGTATTTAAATATAGATGATATGTCTCCACTTCCTCACACTGTACAAAAATTAAACCAAAATATCCTGGATAAAGCCGATGCCATCTGGCGACATCATTTGGAGTCTGCGCAGTAATGATCGCTGTTGGATCCACAGTATCGAGGACCCACCTATGCACCCGTCTGACTCAATCATGAGCAGGTCCAGCTGTCAATCATGATGTGAAACCTCCTTTCTAGAGTATCAAATAACTAAACTTAAGAGAAGAATGAACACTTGAATTTACATTAAACATGATAAGAACTACCTAAATTTAGTTTGGCCCATGTCCCATCTGCTAACATGGAGGGGAGCGGGGTTTATGACCTATAACCAGCCACCAGTGGCTGATGGAGAAGTTTTGTCTTCACTTTTGTGGAGCTGTCATGTCGTCCAACTTTATATACAGTCTATGGTTAGAGCATACGCACAATAACAGAGAGCCATGAGTGGCCTCAGATGCACTGAGGTGTGTATGTTTTTGAGTGCATACCAGGAAACACAGCGTCACACCTATATATAGGTCTATAGGACTCTATATATAGAATCAATGGTGATGACATGGGATCACAGAGAAGCAGGTAGAGACAAAGTGAATTGTAGTTGGGCCACTTACATGGATACATTGGAAGCGCACAGGAAATTGACTTCTTCAAAGCGCAGAGTTTTATTCCAGACAAAGACAAGTACAGTATAACTTTAAGCACATAAATTCTCTTTCTATTTAATGTAGGCTACATACATGCACACTATGGGCGGCTAAGCCAAGAGAATAACTACTAACCAACTCCCACTGGCATGCACCAAGAATAAGAAATATCAGCACTCGTGTTAAGGACAGCAAACCTTTATTTATCACTCAAATCAAACTTACTCTGAAAACTAAGAATTCAGCTTTTCAATGAGTGGAACAAGACTATAAGGCACCCAGGTGCAACTGATATCATGCTAACTGAACAAGTCAGTCAACAGTCCCACCACTAAAACTACTTCAACAAATAGCCAGACAGAATAAACATGCAAGAAAACACATCCAGCTGTCTGCAGTACTGCCTCATTTCATTATTAATATACCAACCATGCACACTTAGGCTACATCAACTTCACTCATGCCAGTGGATAGCAGTAAACTGCAGGGTCACACACAATAAGAGTTAAATATTTATATATAACAATGGTATATAGTAGGCCTATATTTCAGAGTTTATGAATTATCAAAGCTATATTTCACAATCTTTATCTCTGAAATCATAGTTCAACAAACTCTGAAATGATATGACCAATTAAAGCAAGAGTAACACGGCAACATCTGCAGGAAGGGAGAACCGCCAGACAGCATTGCCTCAAATAGAAATGTCCGGCCCTTTCTCCTCAGATGAAAGAATGTATAAACACAAATCCATGATTTGTCCCGCGCCAGCCTTCTGTCTCTTCAAGCCCATGCACCATAAACAGACAGACTCTACTACAGACTCCTGCCGCTGACCCCACCATGCAGCTGATACATGACTCGCTACAGCCCAACACCACTACAAGTACAACAGAAAACATGCAAAGTGACAAAAGGCAAACTGCTCGCTGATTAATAAGAGTGACTGATATCATGCAAAACTTGGTTGGAAAAACAGAATCAAGTTAAAGCAATGCCGAGGACGACACAGGTTGTAGACTGAACACAAGGGCGAGACTGATGCGGGGTAAACTGGCTCCATCAGTATCCTTTCAGCTTGCTGATTGACTGAAGGTGGAGGTGGCGGAGGGAGTATGTTGTACCAGTGGATGCAGGTGGCTGTCTTTCATTCTTGACCACACTGCAGCAGAACTGAGAGTACAGAACTAAAAAAGGGTCTAGCCAGCCTCATCCATCATGCAGGAACTGACTCACACACACCCACGCCCACACATACAAGGAAAACACCACAGTAAGCCCATGCAGAAATCCTGGCTTACAGTGGCTTGGGTCAAGAGATCCAATATGGGCAACTGGCTGATTGAAACCACAATTAAAATAAAGAAGAAAAACAGCTTTCAAAAACTCAGCACATGCTTCAGTTCAATCAATATTTAATTAAATCAAAATAAACAACCTGAACGCACACAGACTTTACACACATGAAAAAACTCAAGTACACAGATCTTTGGTAAGAATCCATACTTCCGTAAAGTGAACATGCATCAGTGTTGCTGTGATTCCCAGCATGCTGCTGTTGCACCAGGAGCCATACGCTTGTCACAACCACTTAGCCACAGCACCGGGAGAGGGGAACACAGAAGGATTTCTACACTAGGGAAGAAAATAAGAGCATCTGACAGCAATCTGCCATGCATCATCCTTTCACTGCGTTCCTCTCGTGCCCTCCGGTGCACCTACACAAACATCATTCCAATTGTTGCGGAAAAGGCTGCAACATCAGTGTGGCTACAAGTTGCAAAAAGGTGAAGAGGCAACAGCGTAATGTGAAGAGAAAAAAAAAATGCTGCAGAGGAAAAGTACCCAGCATGCCTTATTTAGTGTTCTTGCACCCCCAATCATTCCCACAACAAAAACTTTTTAAATTTAAAAAATGAAAAACGTTTTGCAGAGGACCAGGGAGTGGTATACCAGTGGGCTGCATCAGAGCATATCACTAAAGGGAGGATGGGAGCTAACTAGCAGTCAGTGATCAAGCAAAATTACGATGGGAATACAGAGAGAAAGAGGAGGAGAAGAAGGGAGAGAGAGAGCGCGAGAGGAAAATTACCTCAATCTTACGACCTTCCACCAGTGTGCCGTGGAGCTTTTCCCTGGCTTTTTCTGCGTCTGCACTGGTCTCAAATGTCACAAAGCCAAAACCCTGTGGTACAAGGCAGAAGTTTAAGTGCTTGGTGAGTGAGGGGCACATCATGGGGGTTTGTCGAGAGAGGAGAATCTGTGAATCCCTGGAACTTGCGGTGCCCTCTCACATTGTTTAATTGGAGTTTTATAACAATATTACACCATGTGGTGTGTTGACACCCCGTCACCAAGTGTCACGTTTCCAAAAAATAAAGCATGCAAAGTTGAAATTACTGTCAGCAGTCAGGAGGAATTTAGTAGTTTCAGAGAATCAAATCTTCTGTACACTTACCTTTGAACCCCTCTCATTGAAAATTATCTCTACATCCAGAATCTTCCCAAATTGCTGCAAATAAAGTTGAGGGAAGAAATTAGCAAACATATATAAGCAAAGAAAGCAGTCAATTACATGTTTGAGTTGTCTCTGGATGCTTGGCTTAGTTAATACTGCAGAGCAAGAAGCTTCTGATGTTGTGTCAATTACAGCTGCTTTACACTAGGTGTCACTATTATATAAAGACAGCATCCCTCATTTCAATGTTTGTCTTTCTCTCCCTTTGCCTTAAATCTCAGCTCTGTCCTCTTTTTTTCCCCTCTTACTTTGTCGCCCATGCTATCACACTGACACACATAGCAGCCAATTGCCCCCTCGAGCACCAAGAGAACACTCATGAGTGTCTTTCCTTTGTGTTGGTCTGACTCTTTTGTCTGCCTCTAAACCCCGCCCCAAGTGAGCCAGCTCCCTCCGTGGAGGACCCGCGGCGTCTAGACTGATTTATTGATCTAGTTAAAAATGAGGCCCACAACATTCCCAGCTTCTTACCCCAAACATCTGCCTGAGGTCAGGGTCCCGGAAGCGAAAGGGGATGTTTGAGACGTGGAGGCGTTTGGGGGTCCCTTTGGCCTCTGTGGGATCTCCCACAGATCCTCCTGCTCCTGTGCCTCCTGTACCGCACTGCACACCCGCCTCCCCCTGGGACACCTCCTCTGTCTTTCCCTGTGGAGAGAGAGAGAAAAGAAGATGGTGAGGACTGAGGAAGGTGAGAGAGATGGAGGTAAAGGTAATGCAATGGCTTAATATTTATGAGGTTAGCTTAATTATTTTAGCAAATTAAAGCTCTGCTACACTTCTTCTTTTAAATTGTAATGCTAATGAAAACAATTCAGTTCATTAGTGCAATGCAGTTATTTTGTACAGTCTTGATAACAACATGTAATCATTTTAATTTCAGCTTTATGTTATATTAAATATTATGTTTGTATTTATTTTTAATAATGAGACCGCAGTCGAGCAGCAGTGCACTGAGCTAAACGCTAATGTCAGCTTGCTAATATGCTGTTGTTTAGCAGGTATTATGCGTCTTTGTTCACTATCTTAATTTAGCTTGTTTAAATGCTAACATTTACTAATTAGTACCAAACACAAAGTCCAGGTGCTGATGGGAACGTCAATAGTTTTGTAGGTTTTTGGTCGTAAACAGTAGTGGACAAAACATGATGGTGGAGCTATATGTAAAGTGAAGAGATCATCAAAGCTGTTGAAATTCATCCTGTAAGAGGGCGTCACTGACTGTTCCACATTTCATGGCAATCAAAATCAAGAGTATTTAACAAATTTCCTGGAAGTACAAAAATGTCCACCTGCTGCTGGCACTAGTGGGGAAAAAGGGATCATCAAAATCATTAGGATTCATGCCCCGGGGATCATGAATGTTTGTTAAATATTTTATGGCAATCCACCTTATAGTTAGTGAGATATCAAAGTGGTGGAGTGAACGATCGACATTGCCATCTCTACATCCCAACATCAAATTAAAATGACAAATATCTTACAGTTCCCTCACATCTGTAACCCCCCTCCTCTGCATTGGGAGGATGCTAAGCTTGTTTTCCCCGCAAACACCACATGGTGAATACTTCTACCACAAACTATCACACATATCTGACAGACTAGCTAAACGACTACTTAAGGCTTTATAAATCGCACAGTGCTTACGTTGTTATTGTTGGTGGCAGTGGTGGTGGCTCCATTGGCACCAGGCCCTACTTCTGCTGTACCTTGGCCCCCAGCACCAAACATGGCCCCAGGGCCAAACTCTGTCCCTGGTAGCCCGTTTTGAGGAGGGGGTGGAGGGGGGAACGCTGCAAAGGGTGGGGCCACCAGTCCCTCCTGTCCTCCTGTCGAATCCTGAGAGCCCTGCGGCAGCGCGGAGAGGAGAGAAGAGAAGGAGACAGCTTAACATATGTACTCAGAAAGCCTCGTACAGTGGCTGTGGCGTCCTGATGAAGGTAGAACGAGGGGCTAAAATTCTGCCTATTAAATTTCTCTCTTTCACCACTCAGTCACTCCACCATTCCCTCCCTGCTATCCTCTCCCCCTCCCTCTACCTCCATATCTCTGACAGGCATGTGTTTTCAGTCAGCCGACCATGAAATATTTACTGCAAACACATCTATTATTAAGAGTCAAAAAACTTGATACACGGTTTGAGATCCAAACATGCTTATGGCATGGATGGACATGCAGTGAGATAAATACTGCTAACTTTGTCATGTTAACCGTTAACCATTTATAGCTACTGCGGCATTGTGCTCCTGTACATTTGGATTTATTTTAGCAGGCCATCTATAATTCAGAATAACTGTGTATCAGCTGGGACTTTGTTGCCTCAGGTTCTTTTTTTCCAGCACAGTTGCAACAGTATCAGCAGCAGGATCATCTACAAATTCTATATAGCCGTGCTGCTGCTACAACGCATACACCTTTATCTTGTTTGTGTGTGGGGTGACTCTGCAATATTTCTTACTTCCATCATTTCACACGCTCAAGGACATCCTGGACTAAGTTTCACAAGATCCCTTCACAGCAAAGACAGCGTGTAAAAGACAGGGCGACGCCGTGGATGGACAGGGAGATACAGAAAGAAGAGAAAGAAAGGGAGTGGGTTTGGGCACATGGCTGCTCCTTCCACACCAGGCCAGGCACAACGACACACAGCATCCAGCACCATTAACTGGTCTGGTCTCTGCCGTGAGCTGGACCTGGGCTGGGTGAAGCCAAGAGACACTCGGTCTCCAGACGGCCTTTTTAATTAGACGGAGTAACTAAGATGCCACAAAGCAAACGAGCTTGCTCTCTCTCTCTCTCTTTCTCTAATCCTATAGCCAGACTGCTCACTGCAGTGTCGACCGCATTGGCTGTAAACAGCCAGCTGAGGCTAAAAGGCCCATCTGCAAGACAGACAGCTTCTGGGGTCTGGGCCCAACAGATAGAGGAGGCATCAGAGAAGGCTGCATAGACCAAATACAAGATGGAAAAATCTGGGAAACTTGTCTGCTGCCACTCTCATTGTGGTAAGGCTGAATGTATGTTAGGAAGGAAAGTGTGAAAGCTGATTGTGTTTTGCATCCGCTACAGTTTCTGTTACCTAGTGATAAACACAGAGCCACCAAAACCTGTTTAAAGAAGAGCGGATTCATTGGTTAGGCCTTAGCCCAGCCAGGGCTAGGATACAGCAAAGCCTAAGTGTACTTGTCACAGCATGTGAGCTCATAAACATGCAGTAGCCTGTATTCAGCCACTAAAGGGTGTGTCCATAGGCATGTCCCTGCCCAGGGCTGAGTAACACACACACCGAAAGGCAGGGCATGGCAGGGCAGAGGGAACGGAGAGAGAGAGTAAAAGAGTTAGAAAAGAAAGTGACAACAAGTTTAAGTTTGTGATTAGACAGAGATTAGACCTAATCATGTTTTTAACAAGATGCTCATCTACATCTTTAAGTCTCACTGAATGAGAGAGTCAGTCAGAGCTAGTCAGATATTTCATTAACGAGGACGCCATGTCATAAACACTAATCATCTAGTGTTTTTCAGAGACCGCTTCAGGGTGCCAGGAAAGCAGCACTGCCAAGCCTGATCCAACTGGACTAGATGCCATTAAACAATGATCCCATATGACTCGTCATATGAAAAGAAAAAAAAACCTTTAAGGTGTTTTAACATTTAGGCTCCGACTGTAGAGGTTTAAAGATCACTGCCTTCTAAACATGTGGGTTATTTTCATTTGTCATAATTTAGCTAAGCAAGTATAAACAATGACGAAAAGGACGTGCTGATGAGCTAATAAACAGGCAGATGAATGGGAGCTGTCAGTGGATTAAGATCAGAGTTGAGTTAAACAGTACACCCTTAAGTCCACACAGGCATTCCTGACCCGCTGACTAAGGAGCAGCACTGCCCTACATGGCTGCATCATATAGTCAAAAGGAGAAGGGGAGAGAGGAAAAAAGAAATAATGGAAAAAGAAAAGGGGGGCTTAACAGGAGGGGGAAGGGGATTATGGGAAATAATGACACGCTCTATTAGAGTTATGTCTGGTCTGAACCCAAGTTGAATTTTGACGCTGCGAGAGAAGATACAGAACTGGCTGAATATCTGACACATTTAAACAAGCTAGGCTTCGTATTAAAAATAATCACATGAAAAGGAATCTGAGCAAAGCTGAAAACAGAGCAGATCAAGTATCATTGGAAACGCTTTTTAAATCAACAATCTGATGTTACAAATAAAAAAGGAACATCTGTACTAGGACCTATTCATCCGTACTGTTTCACTCTCCCCTTGTGCATGCGCACCCACACACACACACACACACACACACACACAGCAGTTGTGTTACCTGAGACACCATATGTTTTTCCACACACCGAGGATGAGGGGGAGGAGAGGCCTTTTCACAGCAAACCTTTCAAGCGTGCGTCTGTGTCTGTCTGCTGACTTTAGCCTCTAACCACTCTAGTAAAGCACACACCAGCCCCATCAACACAGAATGAACAGCCAAGCGATGATGCTACTGGAGCTCATCAATCATGCAAATTCATAACACCTTGGTGTCTGTAAAGTTGTCTGGCCGAAGATAGAAATACAGCTTTACAGCTTCTTCTCCCTGTGCAATCCTTCTTTTCTTTTCCTGTGGTTGGAGAACTAAGTATGCCTCCCCCCCCTCCCCCCGTCCTAGTCTGCCACGCTTGATGAAAGCCAGAGAGAGCTTTATTTTTTTCTTTCCTTTTAAAACCACTGGCACCCGCCCCTTAAGTCATTCAAAGCTTCTACTGCACTGTGATGTCCATCAAAGCGTAGGCCACAGCCCATCTCCTTATACGGTTGCCCCTGTACAGAAGCTCCCGTCTCTTCTTCCGGACTTTGGGCCAATGAGATTACACATCAGTAGTTCACTGGCTCAGACCCAGAGGACGCATGGATGAAAGATATTTAAATATTTAAAAACATTTTTAATAAAAAAATAGGTTATGTATTCAGTAGCAACATCACTTAGTTGTGGAATAACAAAAGATGATCAGTCGAATAACAGCAAATTCCTCTGCAACGATTTTGATAATCAAATTATGGTTTTAGTAATTTTTAAAGCTTTGGCTAAGATGCCAAACATTTGCTGGTTCCTGCTTTTCAGATATAAGGATGTGATACTTTTCTTCATCATAAATGATAGTAAGCTGTAAATCTTTGGGTTTGGGACTGTTGGTCAGACAAAACAAGACATCTGAAGAAGTCACATTGGGCTGGAAGAAATTATAAGGTAGGTAGGTAGGTACATTTAATTGTCACAATATAAAAAGTTTTATAGTGAAATTTAGTTTTGTAACTCCCTTCTGCTACATAACAGACAATTTAGATTAATACAGAAGCAATTACAAAAATGGTAAACTGAAATAAACTATCAGTGGAGCAGTGCTGAGGATGAACTGGCATTTTTCCCTATTTTACAGGCAAAACGATACATCAGTTAGTTGAGAAAACATAGATGGTGACAACTGAAGCAAGCTTAAAGAACACGTCACAGAAATACAAATTAAATGGATTAAAAACTGTTTTCTTCTTTATCATCAGGCTTAATTCAGTCAGTTACTTGGACTTGATTTTTACATCCCTGTCAGTTGTACATAATTACTAGTTGACTTTTACACTCAAGGAGTTTCCCCTGACCTTTAATCCCGACTGATTTACAGAGGATGCAACATCAGAATGAGCTTTTCACCCTATAAACACCAAGAATCCATAAAACCAATACTAAACTAAGAACAATGGAAATATGCGAATCAACCCAGTGCAGAACATGGTTTGCTGCGCTGCCACTTCCAACTGTTTTATTCCATCCACAAGAAGAACTGTTTAGTAAAATCTTGCATTACTCATTCTGAGTAGGGAATTTGTCCACTGCTGCCACGACTTATGCAGAAGGAGTTTAAATTTAAAAACCCAACTGCAGTGACTTACTGCTGCAATGTAAGCTAGGGTACAGTGTGTGCACAGGTACAACATTACAGTACTGTTTGTCATGCAGGAGTAGGTAACCTGGGAGATACTGCATACATTTAGGGCTCTACTGCACTACATATGTGCATCGCTTGCAATGCGCCTTTCTGTGTGTATGTATGTGCGCTTTGGTGCGAGGTAACATGCGGAGTGTTTTCACACCTCAACCCACTGCATACAGCCTCGGGTAGCAGCAGTTAGAGCAGCATTAGTGTTGGACAATATCATCATGGCTGTATGGGCAGAGGGAGAACAGTTAACCCTGAGGTAGAGAAGTGTCACACAGTGCATTTGGCCACCAATACTGAGGACTCTGCACTTTGTGTCTAGTGCTTAATCTGTGGTAACAGGTGAGACTGTGTTTCCGTTTGTGAGATGGGAAAGCCCGCGTTATCTGTCACTTTCTAATGTGAGAATTGCTCCACACAATGAAATACCCATAATCCCAGCTACACTCCCGCAAACAGACGTGCGCACAGAGCCCTGAGGGTAACAGACTTGGGTGTGGATCCCTTGCAAATTCCTTGAAGGCCTGTTGTCGTACGCTGGCTAACCAAGCAGTCTTGTGGAGAAACTATGGGAGGTGGAACAGTTAGGCAGCCTAAATACTCAGATGCCACTCACTGCCTCGCAAGCTACTCAGTGTAACAGGGGCTTGGCTTGACACCCTTCCTGGCTTGACACCCTTCCTGATGGGCTCAGCAATAAGCAGGAGGGTTAGAGGGATGATACAACACCTCTGGACATCTACAAATACACACAGAGGGACATGTAGATAAGAAGGGAAAATGAGAAGTGGGCTGAATGTGCACACATGTTGTCAGATAACCAGTTATGCAGGCATATTTTTGTTGAACTGTGAAA